TTTGAATATTTTCCTTAGGATACAATCACTAAAATTGGATAACTGAAGCTAGAAATAAAATGTTGTTAGGATCACTAATATATATTGTCAAAATGTACAATGTCACCAAAGTTCTGAGTAAGGACAGCTAATATCCTGCTGTGAATATTAGCAGCCAAAATTTTTTTTTAATATAAAAAGTACAATGTGGTATCTAAAGGTTCTAGAAAACAAAATTCGCCTCTAGCGATATTGAATATTTTCCCATGTGTTTGGTAATTCAATTTGTCTTATGTGAGAAATGTGTTCATGCCTTTTGGTCATTAAAACTTCTAGTATCATAATATTTTACTTTAGAATCTGTGTAAGTTTTTCAAACAATAAAAATAACTTTTTATTTGCTGAAAATAAATTTCCAGGCTTTTTTGTTGTTGTTACAGTTGCTAAATACACTGGAAAAAATTAAAGTTAAAAGCCACTGATTTATTTGCATTTCTTCTATGGCATTTGAGCTTTGAAAGTCATCTATCCTTCTAAAAGTTAACAAATATCCTATTATATTCTACTTTATAAACTTCTTGAGTCTAACTCTTTCATCTATCTGGAATCTACTTTAGTGTCTAATGTTTAGTGTATTTTAGTATACCAAAGTCATATGAATCAGTTACCTTTTTCTTTTTTGGTGAGTCGGAGTTTCGCTCTTGTTACCCAGGCTGGAGTGCAATGGCGCGATCTCGGCTCTGCAACCTCCGCCTCCTGGGTTCAGGCAATTCTCCTGCCTCAGCCTCTTGAGTAGCTGGGATTACAGGCACAAGCCACCATGCCCAGCTAATTTTGTTTTTGTATTTTTAGTAGAGACGGGGTTTCACCATGTTGACCAGGACAGTCTCGATCTCTTGACCTCGTGATCCACCCGCCTCGGCCTCCCAAAGTGCTGGGATTACAGGCGTGAGCCACTGCACCGGCCCATGAATCAGTTATCTTAATCAAATTTAGAGAATAATACCTTAATTTCCCTATTTTCATTATTTGTAATACATATTTTAAATAATTGTCTTAGTTAAAAAAAGATACTTTTAAAGGCCAGTAGTGGTGGCTCACTCCTGTAATCCCAGCACTTTGGCAGGCCGAAGTGGGTGGATCACCTGAAGTCAGGAGTTCCAAACCAGCCTGGCCAACATGGCGAAACCCCGTCTCTACTAAAAACACAAAAATTAGTCAGGTACAGTGGTGGGCGCCTGTAATCCCAGCTATTTGGCAGGCTGAGGCAGGAGAAACGCTTGAATCTGGGAGGCGGAGATTGCAGTGAGCCAAGATGGTGCCATTGTACTACAGCTTGGGTGACAGAGTGAGACTCTATCTCAAAAAAAGAAAAAAAAAATACTCTTCTCAGCTGTCCTGTTTCAGTAACTTCTCTATTCTTTTACAAAGCCCATGTTTTTAAATCAAACTAATTTTACTATCAAGCTAATGCCCCCTCATTACTTTTCTTCCCCAAGAATTAAAAAAAAATCTCATATGATTATTCTTTAAGATGTAAAAAATCACAAATGATTAAACAAAAAATTGTTTAAACTAATGACATGATTTTATGAGTCTGAATTCTGGAATACAAATTCAGTTTAACATCAATATCTAAAATCTTCATGGAAGACAACTTTAACCATCCTCCCGTTGCTTACCTATCATGTGTCAGTTGCTGAATAAGTTCCTGCCAATGTCTGCTAGCGCTCAAATCTACTTTATACATTCCTCTGATATGCTGGATCACCTTTTTTCTCTCAATTCCTTGGGAAAGAGACACTGCCTGGGTGATATCTGCTGCTATTTTAGATATATCCTTTGATTTTGAATCCAGACGCTGAAAGAGACTAAACAAGTAAGATTGTTCATAGTTAAGCATACATGGAATGTATTTATCAAAACACAATACTTTAAAACTAAAAGCATATGTGAAATCTAATAGATTTCACATCTAAAAGACATGCCTTTGGAACATATAAAATATTACCTTTGTTGGTTATTATTAACGGTTTTCTGCCAAGCAGCTTTATTCACTCCTTCTTCAGTTTCATATTTCTTTTGTTCCTAAAATATTTAGATAATAATATACTACATAAAATTTTGGCCACAGAGCCCAACAAACCAATTTCAAAACCCAGTTAACAAAGGAGAAAATATTGTCCCTAGGAGACCAGAATAATATAATAAACCATCTAAACAATGTTATAATTCTGCTTCTATACAATTTAGGTCACATAAGTTAGAGTAGAATGGTTAACCAGGGTTGCTGAACCTGATGAGTTTACACATAGTTGCTTGCCTCCTTATTTTGCTTTTTCATTAAAGAACCCCTAACACAAGGTACGCTTCAGCTTGGTTGTCACTTTAAAATGCTTTCCTTCACCGAAGGACACTGATAATGAATAACGACGACCACAGAGAACAAAATGCTCCTTAAAATAAGCGTATTTTTCCTCTTGTAGAAAAAAGCAATATAGTATATAGGAAAAAATAAAATAATCATTTAAAGTTCATCATCAATGATACTCTGTTCTTTTTTTTTTTTTTTTGATACTCTGTTCTTAAAAAAGTAATGTCAGTCATTCTTTAATTACCTATGATGGAATCTCCTAAGAAAGAACTATGGTTCCATTGACTCACCTCTTTGATTATTTTAATAAGGTCTGCTTTTGTTGATGCACTGGGAGGGATGCACTTGTGACCACATAACTTCAAAGCATTCATAAGCAGTTCTGCTGTGTCTAGCTCTTCTTCAGTCAATTCATCTTGGTGATTATGTATCAACTCTGACAAATATAAAACTAACTTGGCTCCATGCTTAAAAAAAAAGTAAGAATTTTTAAACCATTTAGAATTTTAATTCTTACATTTAAATTACTTAATAGTAATTACATTATATTGCTAGATTTATTTGGTTGCATCTGATTTGAATAAAGCACCTACAAAAGACATTCTGGGGTAATTACAGAAATCTGATTATGCACTGAGTAGCTGACAACAGAGGATTAATGCTAATTTTGTTGGATGTAATAATGTTGTGATGGTTACATAGGAAAATGTTTTTAAGAAAGAATTTAGAGGTAAAATATCATGATTTCTATATATATGTTAAAATCATTCAGAAAAAGAAGAGATTATGTCAATATGATAAAAATAGTAACAACTGTTAAATCTAGGTGATGGTTATATGGTATTTATTATACTATTCTTTCTACTCTCAGTATCTTTGACATTTTTTCTTATAAAATGTACTTTAAAAAGCAAGCAAGCTAGCCAGCTAGCTTTTGGGGTAAGAATTTTGGAGAGAAGTTGCTAAAGGAATGCAGGAAATAAACTGGGATAAAGGAAGATAATTTTAGTTTTTCTCACAGAAAAACTGAAGTAGAAGGGAAAGCTTCCTTTAGACCTTAAAGTTTATTTACTCTTCCTCCTTCGATTTCTGCTTAGTACAAGAGAAACTGATAAAATTTCTAGAACTAAAACCTATTTTTAGCTTGTAAGTATTCACTACTCCCTAGGGAGAACAAAACGTGAAAAACTCTCAAACTGGTGAGACCTACAGAGACAGCTGTATGTGCATATCCAGGGAAGAGTTGTTTTAGCCAATCTTTTAAGAACAGACCCTAAAACCAAAATTTACAGTGTTACTTACGGTAATGACAATTGTCCTTTGCAGCACAAACCTACACCAAATGTTCATTCATGATTTTTTAAGTGGCCCTTACATGCTATAGATATTACACCTGATTCTAATGTGTACAGTGTGCATTATTTAGACAATAATTTTGCCAATAAATTAAACACATATATTTTACTTTGAAATCTGCATTGAAACAAATATCACTGCATTTAGTTTTATGACATTTTAAACTGTGAACAGTATGAAATGTCAGCAAATGGATCTGGAAATGATTACATTTTGGGTGATATTTAAATTAACATGCTGAATCACATCATGTCATTTCCCAAAAGCAAAAGATGAACATATGCCATGATGAAAATAGGAAAGCTCATTTTAATGCAACATTTTAAATCAGTTAGAGACAGCTGCTACCTGACCAAAAGAGAAAGATGAGCAGAAGTTCTGTGAGTAAAAGGCCCAAAGAGTTGGCAAATAAAGAAAAATGGTAAATGACTAGAAGATTTTCCTAAGTGTATCTTAAAGGGAATGTTCTTGATATAACTTTAAAAGTACTTCAGTTTAGTATTCAATGACATTCTAAAATTATCTTGAAAAACTATCAAAAATGTTTTTATTCATTGTGAATATCCAAAGAAACACATGATTTTCTTAAACACTGAAGTTGTTTCTAATATCTTATTTTAATACCTTCTGATCACTTACTGATTATCATTTCGGGGACTATAAAAGGTGTCACTGGGAATAGATACAAAAAATATCTTATTTTCAGCCCTCAAAAACTGATTTAAGGAATTGAGTCTGTTAAACATAAATCCTTAAAAAATAATAAAATGCTAAAATATATAAAATATTACTTTTCAATGAAGGTTCTAAGAAGGAAGAGTTCTAAGTGGACTACAGAAAGGTAGAAAGGTTTTGAAGAAGGTATAGAGTAATCTGGGTCATGGCTAAATGGATGGTTAGAATGGGGATATAGAGGCCAGGCACGGTGGCTCACGCCTGTAATCCCAGCACTTTGGGAGGCTGAGGTGGGCAGATTACAAGGTCAAGAGATTGAGACGATCCTGGCCAACATGGTGAAACCTCGTCTCTACTAAAAACACAAAAATTAGCCAGTCGTGTTGGTGGACACCTGTAGTCCCAACTACTTGGGAGGCTGAGGCAGGAGAATCGCTTGAACCTGGGAGGCAGAGGTTGCAGTGAGCTGAGATCATGCCACTGCACTCCAGTCTGGTGACAGACCGAGACTCTGCCCTCCCCCCAAAAAAAAAAAGAATGGGGATATAGACAGACAAAGGAGAGAGAGGTGTTCTGTGCTGGTGGACAGTATGAACAGAATTGCTTGACAGTAAAAATAAACAAGATGTGAAGAGGTTGCAAGACACAGAAGATGTGATTATCTTGAAGAGAAGAGGGTCTGTAGGCTGGAGAGTTAATCAGAATCAAGTTGTGATGGCAGAAAAGAAGCCTGGGGCTTAAAAACCCAGGAAGATTACAAATGAAATACAAATTAAATGTATACAGCTGTAAATGGCATAAAGATCACTCTATACTACTGTGTAATAATGATCTCTAGGATATATTAAGTGAAGAAAGTAGGATGCAGAAGAGTGTGTATACTTTGCTATCTTTCTTTGTGTTGGGAAGTAGGGGAGAGAATATTTACACGTATAAATATATGTATACACAAATTTGCTTATCTACAACAGAAAAAAATAGTTACCTACGGAGGGAGGGAAAAAATAAGAGGAGGGTAAAAGAATAAAAGCTAGGACCTGTCTGAATTTGCTATTTCACAACATTGGTCTTAGAACCACGTAGACATTTCACGTTTGTTTAATCAAAACAAAATCAAGCAAGCAAACAAAAACCCAAAGGAATCCCTAAAAATGTAAAACAAACTGAAAAAAAAAAGCCCACCTACCTACCTAATTGGTTGAAGCTGGTGGCATGACCAAATAAAGAAAACTATTTTAAGTGCTTTTACAATACAGTATTTTCACTGCATAATCATAATAATATGCTAAGGACAAAAAGAACCACAAAGACATCTTAAATTACACTCAGCAGGACTGTTATTAGTGATCATGTTGGTCATCTTATTTTGAAAATGTTATATATGTAGAAAGACAAAGTAAATAAATGATTATGTTAATGTTAGGAACCAAAATATCAACATTAATAAGAAATACAAATTTAAAAAATCCAAGAAAAAGTGAAAGTATTAGTATAAACTCATGATTTTTCTTTCTAAAAAAAAATACGTACTTCCTACTTTTGTCCACTAAAAAAGGCTGAGAAGAAGTGACAACCCAGTAGAAATAAACATACCTAGTCCCCAGATTTGTAGTCTCTAAATACCATCATCACCTTAAAAGGAAATAAAGGCTTCTTGGGTGGGAAGTTAGGTTCTAGGTTTTGGGAAGGAAATGTGTAAGGTGGGCCTGGGACATTCCTCTGTGCCAGAAAACAAGGAAGTTTAATTGTATTGACTTGTTAAAATGAAACAGGCCATGTTGATACAACAACTTGAATCTACAGAAGTGTTAATTTGAATATTAAACTGAATAATGACTGCAATAGACTAAAACACATGCCACTTCTTTTACAACACCTGAGCTCCTAATGACATTCCAAAAATAAAAACAAATACAAAAATTAGAGGCCACTAGGGGCATGAACTCATCATTCTAAAAATTAATAAAGAAGGAAGGAAACAGAATTTTTCCTGCCTTTACTTGACTGACTGTATTTAAAGGTAGCCAAGGGGCTGGAGCCTGCCTCCGGGTCCAGATCTCATTGCCGTGCCCTGTGATGCCCACCCAATGTGAGTTCCTGATTCCTTCTGGTTCCAAGTCCAATATGGAAACTCTCAAGGATCAGCCAATTCATAATCTTCTAAAGGATGAACAGACCCCCCAGAATAAGATTACAGTTGTTGGGGTTGGTGCTGTTGGCATGGCCTGTGCCATCAGTATCTTAATGAAGGACTTGGCAGGTAAACTTGCTCTTGTTGATGTCATGGAAGACAAACGGAAGGGTGAGATGATGAATCTCTAACATGGCAGCCTTTTCCTTAGAACACCAAAGATTATCTCTGGCAAAGACTATAATGTAACTGCAAACTCCAAGCTGGTCATACCATCTTGCTGGGGCACGTCAGCAAGAGGGAGAAAGCCATCTTAATTTGATCTAGCATAACGTGAACATCTTTAAATTCATCATTCCTAATGTTGTAAAATACAGCCTGAACTGCACGTTGCTTATTGTTTCAAATCCAGTTGGTATCTTGACCTATATGACTTGGAAGATAAACGGCTTTCCCAAAAACCGTGTCACTGGAAGTGGCTGCAATCTGGATTCAGCCCGATTCCGTTACCTGATGGGGTAAGGGCTGGAGATCACCCATTAAGCTGTCATGGGTGGGTCCTTGGGGATCATGGAGATTCCAGTGTGCCTGTATGGAGTGGAGTGAAAGTTGCTGGTGTCTCCCTGAAGACTCTGCACCCAGATTTAGGGACTGATACAGATAAGGAACAGTGGAAAGACGTTCATAAGCAGGTGGTTAAGAGTGCTTAGGAGGTGATCAAACTCAAAGGCTATATATCCTGGGCCACTGGACTCTCTGTGGCAGATTTGCCAGAGAGTATAATGAAGAATCTTAGGCGGGTGCATCCAATTCCACCATAAGGGTCTCCATGATACAAAGGCTGATGCCTTCTTTAGGGTTCCTTGTATCTTGGGACAGAATGGAATCTCAGACCTTGTGAAGGTGACTCTGACTCCCAAGGAGGAGGCCCGTTTGAAGAAGAGTACAGATATGCTTAGGGGATCCAAAAAGAGCTGCAATTTTAAAGTCTTCTGATGGCATACCATTTTACTGACTAGGCTACAACAGAATGTTAGCTGGAGGTTGTGCATGTTGTCCTTTTTATCTGATCTGTGATTAAAGCAGTAATGTTAAGATGGACTGGAAAAAACATCAATTCCTAAAGTCAGAAATAGAAATGGTCTGTAAAATCCTACAGCTATATCCTGATGCTGGATGGTGCTACTGTTGAGTAGTCCTAAAATGGTTAGTGTGAAATAGTTCTGCCACCTCTGAGGCACCACTGCCGATGCTGCACATGTTGCGGTTGCCCCTTGAACCAGACAGATGTTTACCATGTGTTATATAACTTCCTGGCTCCTTCACTGAACATGCCTAGTTCAACTTGTTTTCCCCAATCAGTAACATCCTGGGATCCAGTGTATAAATCTAATATTGCATGTCTTGTGCATAATTATTCCAAAGGATCTTATTTTGTGAACTATATCAGCAGTGTTCATTACCATATAATGTCAAAAGATCTACATATAAACAACGTAACCAACTATCCAAGTGTCATACCAACTAAAACTCCCAATAAACCTTGAACAGTGGAAAAAAAAAAAGAGAAAAAAAGAAAGGTAGCCAAATAGTTGACAAGGGAAAGTTCCTCCCTATAGAAGAGTCAGAGCTTAAAGATGTTGATGGAATGAGAGACTTAGATAAATCACTATTTTGTAACTCCTTAATGAAAAAGTATATCTTGGCAATTATCATCAGTAGTTACTAAAATTATTAGGTTAAAGATTATATCCTCAGTCTTTGTGGGTGAATAAATGACTGGCCTTGGTGATGAAATATATTGAGAGGGAGAAGAAAAAGTCAATGACAACAACAGTTCAATATTTCAGGCTGAAATTCAATAATGATACCACTGACAGACACAAAGTGGTGGAGAAGGGAAACTGGTATGAGGAAAAGGGGACTGTTAACACCACAGTTGAATTTTGATGGAGAGCAACTTTGCTGAGTATAAAGGAAAGAAAAAAGCACCACTTCAAGTTCTCCACAGAAGGAAAGTACAGGCTAAATATACCTCTGTCTTGTGAAATAGAAGACAGTGCCTTTAGTGTACTTAAAAGTGTCTTAATACTGGAAAGAGCACCTACAAGTATCCCTTCAAGATAGTTTTGACTCATATTAATATGAGTTTTCTACATATTAAAGGGGATACTATCTTTTTAAATATATCCCCTCTCACCTTCTTTATTGAGGTAAAACTTACATGTAATAAGTATACATACATTAAGTGTTTCTATGATGTTGACAATTGCATACATCCACTTAACTACTACTCAAAATAAGATCTTATTTTTATCACCCCAAAAAGTTCTCTTAAACTTCTTTCCAGTCAATTCCCCTTCTCACCATCCCCCTTCCACAGAGACAACTACTGTCCTGAATTCTATCATCATATTTTGGTTTTGCTTGTTCTTGGACTTCAGATGAATAGAATCAGATTGCGCTCCTTTGTGTTTGGCTGTCCCTTTCCCCACTCAATGTTTCTGAGATTCATCCATAATGACAGGTGTATCAGTAGTCTGTTCCTTTTTAGAGCTGTAGAATAGTCTACACAGATTTCTCTCTACAGGTATAAAGAAATCACACTTTGTATATTCTTCTGTTGATAAGCATTTGAATATTTCTAGTTTTTGGCCATTATGAAAAAAGGCTGCCATGGATATTCTTAAACAAGTCTTTTAAAAAACATTATGTTTTAATTTCTCTTTTAAGTAAATATCTAGAAATGGAATAACATGGTCACAAGTTAAATATATGTTTAATTTTATAAGGAACTGTTAAACAGCCCTACATTATGGTTTAATGTGCTCTTTAAATTTTCCATCTACCACTGTTGAAGTGATAGACTTTATGGACTCTGAAATTCTTTTAGGTATTTTGGGTTTGATTATTCCAAATGATTAATTTTTTTTCTATTTTAACTTACTAGATGTATTTTTGATATACATTATATGTACTGTTGTTTGAGCTATTCAATATAGATGTTTCACAGGTAATATACGCCTTTTAAAAAAGCCTCCAAACAATTCTTAAAGAAAGCATTTTAAGATATGTTAACACATTACAAAGTATCTGATAGAAACTCTGATACAGAACTTGCAATTTAAACACTAGAAATAAGGTTGGGAAATAAACACAGACGTTAAATTGAGCCTGTGTAAAGCACCTGAGGAAAGACCTTAGGTTAAATTTGTTTGGTAAGAAAATTATATTTATGGGCCGGGTGCAGTGGCTCAAGCCTGTAATCCCAGCACTTTGGGAGGCCGAGGCAGGTGGATCATGAGGTCAACAGATTGAGACCATCCTGGTCAACGTGGTGAAACCCTGTCTCTACTAAAAAAAAAAAAATACAAAAAATTATCTGGGCACGGTGGCGCATGCCTGTAATTCCAGCTACTCAGGAGGCTGAGGCAGGAGAATTGCCTGAACCCAGGAGGCAGAGGTTGCAGTGAGCTGAGATCGCGCCATTGCACTCCAGCCTGGGTAACAAGAGCGAAACTCCATCTCAAAAAAAAAAAAAAAAAAAAAGAAAATTATATTTATAAATTAGGCATGAAAATTCAGTTTAATTTCAGTTCTTGTTTTATTCAGACTTTATATTTCACCAAAAGTTTTACTTATCAAAGCTGAGATACTTACTTGTAGGGATGGGCTGAGACAGTCTCGTAGTATTTCCTGATGATTTGGTTCATGAACTATTTCAAAAATTTGCTTTCTCTCTTGTGCAGTGTGGGCTGGTGACAAAATATGCACTAATAGTCTCCCAAGCTGCATTCGGAAGGTCTCCTTACAAGACCATAGAATTTTAGTCCACTGCTGCTTGGAACCACTGGTTTTACTTGAACCCTAAAATCAAGATAGGAATGAATTAGGATCAGATTGCTTAATAATACTATGCTAGACTCAACACAGCTCTAAAGAAGATTACAGAGTATGTTTTATTCCAGATTGTTTTTAATAGTCAAAATTAGAAAGAGATACACATATCCACCGAAATAGGAGTTTAAAAGAGATCGCATACAATGTTCATAGTAGCATCAAAATAGCCAAAAGGTGGAAACAATCTGAACACCCATCAGTGGATAAACAGATAAACAAAATGTGCTATATACTTACAATGCAATATTATTCACCCTTAAAAAGGAAGGAAATTCTGACACATGCTATAATATGGATGATCCTTGAGGACACTATGCTAAATAAAATAAGCCACTACAAGGCAACAGTGATCAAAACAGCATGGTACTGATACCAAAACAGAGCTATAGACCAATGGAACAGAACAGAGGCCTCGGAAGCAACACCACACATCTACAACCATCTAATCTTTGACAAACCTGATAAAAACAAGCAATGGGGAAAGGATCCCCTGTTTAATAAGTGGTGTTGGGAAAATTCACTAGCAATGTACAGAAAGCAGAAACTGGATGACCCCTTCCTGACACCTTAAACTAAAATTAACTCCAGATGGATTAAGGACTTAAACATAACACCACAAAAACTCTAGAAGAAAACCTAGGCAAAACCATTCAGGACATAGGCATAGGCAAGGACTTCATGACTAAAACACCAAAAACAATGGCAACAAAAGCCAAAATAGACAAATGGGATCTAATTAAACTTCAGAGCTTCTGTACAACAAAAGAAACAATCATTAGAGTGAACTGGCAACCAACAGAATGGGAAAAAAATTTTTGCAATCAACCCATCTGACAAAGGGCTAATATCCAGAATCTACAAAGAACTAAAGCAGATATATAAGAAAAAAACAAACAAACCCATCCAAAAGTATGCAAAGGATATGAACAGATGCTTTTCAAAAGAAGGCATATATGAAGCCAACAATATGAAAAAATGCTCATCATCACTGGTCATTAGAGAAATGCAAATCAAAACCACATTGAGAGACCATCTCATGCCAGTTAGAATGGCAATCATTAAAAAATCTGGAGACAACAGATGCTGGAGAGGATGTGGAAAAATAGGAACACTTTTATACTGTTGGTGGGAATGTAAATTAGTTCAACCATTGTGGAAGACAGTATGGTGATTCCTCAAGGATCTAGAAATAGAAATTCCATTTGACCCAGCAATCCCATTACTGGGTATATACCCCAAGGACTATAAATTGTTCTATTATAAAGACACAGGCACATGTATGTTCATTGCGGCACTGCTTACAATGGCAAAGACCTGGAACCAACCCAAATGCCTATCAATGATAGACTGGACAAAGAAAATGTGGCACATATACACCATGGAATAGTACGCAGCCATAAAAATCAATGAGTTTGTGTACTTTATAGGGACATGGATGAACCCAGAAACCATCATTCTCAGCAAACTGACACAAGAACAGAAAATCAAACACCGCATGTTCTCACTCGTAGGTAGTTGTTGAAAAATGAGAACATGTGGACACAGAGAGGGGAGCATCACACAGTGGGGTCCGTTAGAGGTGGCAAGGGGAGGGACAGCGGGGTGTAGGGAGTTCGGGAGGGATAACATGGGGAGAAATGCCAGATATAGGTGACGGAAGGATGGAGGTAGCAAACCACCTTGCTATGAATGTACCTATGCAACAATCTTGCATGATCTGCACATGTATCCTAGAATCTAAAGGAAAATATTGTATGCTTCTATTTACAATAGGTACCTTGAACAGTGAAACTCACAGAGACAGAAAGTAGAATAGTGCTTATAGGGTAATGGGGGAGAGGGTGGTAAAAGTTATTATTTATTGGGTCCAGAGTTTCATTGTGGGATAATTAAAAAGTTCTTGCTGGGTGCGGTGGTTCACGCCTGTAATCCCAGCACTTTGGGAGGCCGAGGCAGATGGATCACCTGAGGTCAGGAGTATGAAACTCAGCACTTTGGCAGGCTGAGGTAGGAGAATCCCTTGAATCTGGGAGGTGGAGGTTGCAATGAGCTGAGATTGGGCCACTGCTCTCCAGCCTGGGAGACAGAATGAGACTCCATCTCTGGGGGAAAAAAAAGTTCCAAGAGATGGATGATGGTGGCAATGGCTGCACAGCAATATGAATATAATTAATGCCACTGAATTGTATCCTTAAAAATGGTCAAAATGGTAAATTTTATGTCCTAAGCCATTAAAAAATTACCAAGGGCTCACAAATTATAAATAAAAAAAAAAAACTATCAAAGAACAATGATAAATAAGCTTACACTAATTTTGCAATAAAAAGAGAAAAGATTCATAATAAAGACTTGAATTGTGCTATACTACTGAGTACAATAGTTACAAATTAAGCACTGCAGATAGCAACACCCCTTACCCGTGGTTTTGCTTTCCATAGTCAATCATGGTCCGCAAATAGTTAAATACTATACAATAAGATATTTACTCATTGTAAAAAGAGAGAGACTACATTCATATAACTTTTAGTAAAGCATATTGTTATAATTGTTGTTTTGTTATTACAGTTAATCTCTTACTATGCCTAATTCATAAATTAAACTATATCATAGGTATATATGTATATGGAAAAACATATATATAGGTTTCAGTAGC